ATAAAACATGGGAAACACCTGGGAAGAAATCAACCAAATCAGGACAGGAACAGGAAACTAACCAAATAAGGGCATAGGAAGGCACATGGGGAGCAAGACACACAAAACATGGAACAAAGTCTGACAGTAAGTGCTTTCTTAAAAATTGCGGGCATTTTACCTTGTCCTAAATGGTGGATCTGCAATATGGAATCTTGGCATTCTCAAATGTTTTGAGAAAGCAGACACTTGAAAGCACATGTTGCAGGCAGGCCGTCCGCTGGTGCTGTACCTCCACCAGTCTTGTGCTGGGCAGCGGCTGCAGCCTGATCTATTTAGTTCCTAATTAGACAGAGGAGGCCACAGGAATTTAACGGCTGTCATCATTGGCTGGCATTATAATGGCTCAGCTATGGTTGTTTGTCTCAGTGCCCACTGGGCACATAGAATGGCATGCTGAAGTTGGCACTGAGATGGCTCTAACAAAGAGACCTGCCAAGAATTACTATAACACTATTAGTGCAGAAATTATTTTCTACGGTCTTATTTGTTGCATTTGTGAATTAAACTATTAATAAAAGTAATTAAATAATATACATTAATAAACAGAAGTCCTGAAGAGCAAAATGCACATTTATTTTTATTTTTATTTGGATTGTACGTTTAGTTATACATGTCTAATGGCAATTCTGTGGCATACTTTGCAGTAAAAAAAAAAAAAAGGTGGAGGGAGTGGCTCTACTTTTTACTTTTCCATTGAATATTTTTTTCAGCTTCTAGTCAATTTCAGTTTTGCAAAATGTATGTATGTATGTATGTATTTATTTGCAAAATATATGTATTAAATATTTCCACCATTTTTGCCCTATAAAAAAAAGTCAGATTTTTTTTTTTGCGGGAAGTTGTCACATAATTTAAATACTAAACCTGTTATGAGAAAAAAAAGGGAGAAAATTGAGGGGGAAAATAACATTTTAACTCAAAGCACATGTTGGATAAAAAAGCACAAGTTAGTTTGGATGATAAAATTCTCCTAAATCATAACTAAATATTAACTTGTTTTCTTAAATATGTAATTGAGACAATTTTGAAGACTGTTTTGAACTATTAAACCAATATAAAACCACTTTCAGAGAAAACTTTTTATTTATATATTTATTTATTTTTTGGGTAGTTGGAAATTGACTCATATTTTGAAAGTTATAATATTTAGATATAACCCTTTTAAACTTCCCTGTGTGACAATTAGCCTATTGGACAGTGTGAAACTATTGTTTTTGCTGTGTACTTATGGACAGCTCATCAAATTCATGTGCATGTGGTCACTACAATCAAAGGAACTGAAATGCTGCAAAAACGACTGTAGCTGTCTCTTAGTAAAACCAAAAGTGCTGGAGAAAACAGCGTTTATCTGTTCTCTTAGCTCTGAGTGGTTTTTAAGTGAAACCCATATAATTGAGGCTTGAGACCATTTGTATTTCATGGTAGTGTTGGAGCAGCAACACTTTCCAAAGCCAGCGCTCACCCTACGGTTATCCGATACGTTTGGAGCCAGTCCCTGCGCAACTAGCTGGGCCCCTCAGCATCTGGATCCACACAGCCGGACCCGAGTACAAACATTTACTCTGCATTAAAGCCTTGTTCTGATAAGTGTGTTGTATAGATTAAACACGATCAGATTTATGACGTTTGCCACTCACAGCGACAGTAAACTTAAACGACTCATCATTGTCATTTGGAGGAAGGGACGTAAGCAACTCATGGTAATTTTCCATGCTTTTGTCATCCATGTCAGCCTGAAAACTGCTTGCTTATAAATTTCTCAATATTATTTGGTGAAAATATACCTCATCAAAACATTCTCCTCCCTAATTTTGTTTAATGACATATCTGGTGCTGGAAAATGTCAGTTTATGTCGGAAAAACAGATGATCTGACTTTCCCGGAGTGTTGTTAAAATCCCACATGGTTTAAAAAACCGCTCGGCAAGCGGCAGTTTGGTAAAGCTGACGAGAGCTCTGCTCGCCATTAGCGTATAGAATCACGGTTTTGGTTTGTGTACATCTCTGTAGGCCGAGAGACAGACTAAAAATAAACAGAGCGATGGGCTGATGGGACCGCTATTAAAACGAGGATGGAATTTCCCTTCGTACTTAGGGGATTATATCCGTAATGGACACCAAACTTGATGATCTTCTCACTTTTAAAGCGCAAGCCCCATCCTTACGTCTGTTTGCACACATCCGTCAATCAAGAGTGTCCGCTCGCACTTTTGGTTTCGGCAACAAATGTTCAATCCGTCGTCAAGACATTACCAGCTATCATATATCGTAAACACTCCAGAAAAGCATTACATGATGCGGTTGAAATGCCAGGCCAGCATTTAGCGTTCCACCACATTAGTGTGAAGTACATTTCATTTTCGTTGAGAATGTCTGAATCAGTTTTTTGTTGGGACATGCTGCCGGGTGCCCATGTGCGCGGGTGCTGTCGTCTAATGAGACTGCAATGAAAAACAGTCCATATCTGATGCACCACACATGTTCTACACCATGTTGCATTTAAAAGAGGTTTATGAGAGAAGATAATCAAATGCTTAAAGTGCATTAGGCTCTTTGCGTGTGCGGCTGTGTGTGGGATGTGTGTCATATGAAAAACAGCTACTTGCCGTTGGGACAGATGTAAGAAGAAACAAGATGCTGTCGATATGGATCAGATTAACAATTGCTCATTCATTCGTCATCCTGTGTTTTTGCAAGTGTGTGTGGGAGTTAATTCTGTATGTGATCTGTGTGGATCTTTCTGGCTCAATGCTGGACACTGTGAGGCACTGAGGTCAGAGGATACTAGATGGATGGAGTTGTGTGGAAGACTGTAAATCGCTGCTGCACTTGGACAGCTGTGAGAATTACCTTAAATTGATTCCAGTCATCCCTCACAGCGGCACTGCAGCATTTAAAAAAATTTTTTTTTGTGTGTGTGTGTGCCTGTATGAACTGTGATATAAACTCCATTATTTGAGTCCTTATAGAAATTTTAGCCATTTAAAAAAAAAAGGGGCATATTTTGAGATAATGACTGGCAGATAAAATAAAATGAAATAAAAATTTTTTTTTTAATAATTTCTTATCTCAGGAAAGACTGTGGAGTGATATGAGTTACAACTTAAATTGATTCCAGTCATCCCTCACAGCGGCACTGCAGCATTTTTAAAAAAATTTTTTTTGTGTGTGTGTGCCTGTATGAACTGTGATATAAACTCCATTATTTGAGTCCTTATAGAAATTTTAGCCATTTTAAAAAAAAAGGGGCATATTTTGAGATAATGACTGGCAGATAAAATAAAATGAAATAAAATTTTTTTTTTAAATAATTTCTTATCTCAGGAAAGACTGTGGAGTGATATGAGTTACAAAACTACACAGGAAATTAGGTGACTGAGACAATCAGTTATACAGCTTATCAGTCTTTAACCATAGACAGCTGTGACTGACCAATCAGGATCAAGTATTCCAGTCACCTTCAAGTCACTTATATTTATCTAGCACTTTATACAATACAGAGCCGTGTAATAGTATCAGATATTTTTAATGAAAGCACTGTATGGATAAGGTTATTCAGTTGCTGATTACTCTGCATGCTGGAATTGAATATGAAGCTTAATGAAACATTAGGAGTAAACAAACTAAGATTAATTTTACAGTGTGACAAGAGTTGTGAATTAATGTTAATGGACATAAAAAAAAATACACCAATGGTAATCTAATAATATTACATTAAGCATAAAATTCAATATTATGGTACTGTGTGTGTGTGTGTATTAGATATGAATATAGCTTACACATTATTTTAAGGACCAATTCTCACTATTAACTAGTTGCTTATTAGCGTGCATATTACTAGCATATTGGCTGTTTACATATATTATGCACATATTAATAATATTAATAATGCACATATTAATCCATTATTCTGCATGACCGTATTTTAGATTGCTTAATCCTACCCAATACCTAAACTTAACAACTACCTTACTATTTCTAAGCAGCAAATTAGGAGTTTATTGAGGCAAAAGTTGTCGTTAATAGTTAGTTAATAGTGACAATTGGTCCCCAAACTAAAGTGTGACCTGAGTATTATATATTAATATTACACAATCATCTGAAGGGATAGCTGGGGCTTTACATCACAATTTGAACCAGTATTAAAACAGTGGAAATTGTCAGCAGAGTGACATTTTCCTTGTGATACTGTGTATTATGGACAGTATTGATAACTGTGCACAGAAGCAATCCTTCAGGGTCTCATGTACTGTATGAGCTGAGTCAACTCTCTTCGGTTCTGTCACACAGCACAATGCATTCCACACAGTACTGCGCTTGTCGCAAAATAATATAGTGCGGTCTGGCCCATTGACCAGCCCTGACCTTACTGTACGACTTCTCCAGCATTCTGCCCTACACTAATGCAAAATATGTGAGCCATGCGTATCACATGGCCAAAGTCCCTTTGTGTGCCCATGAGTGGAGGCGCCAGGATATTACCACACTTTCTGTCAAGTGTTGTATTATTACAGCCCTCGATTGGGCCACAATGTAACGCATGGTCTGCCTGTCAGCCTGTGTGGAGGTGTGACACACTGCCGTCTCAGTGTCACACTCTGAGTTTGACCCACAAAGGTTAGCCAGGGGGCATGACACTGTCTGACTCATGACAATAGAGCCTTTGTGGACATAAGGCCATGAACGTGTCCTCGCACAACGTTGACATGCGCGCGTCAGCCACCAGTTGAGTTGTTAAACATGCTGAAATACGCTGAAGGCGATCTACTGAAGAAACCATTGCATTCTGCATCAAAGGCTTTGTTGAACTCTAAATACTGACAGGAATGTGTGTGCGAGGTTCAATAGCCACTTCTCTGACATCACTGCCCTCTCACACACACCGTCCACATCCTCACTGCCAAAACCATGTGCTGGTAAATTTGCTCTATGGCTGATCTTTCTGTTTTTGTCTTTCAGATTGAGAATGTGGAGGCTTGTCTGATTTTCTTAGGGGCCAGAGGAGTCAGTGTTCAAGGGCTCTCTGCTGAAGGTAAGATCCTTCTGTCTGCTTGAAACTTGATAACAACTGCTAAATGCCTTCATATACAGTACACAAATCTAATTAGTGGCGTTTGCGTCCGTATTATCACCATTTAAACTTAGAATTAAGGGCTTTTCAAAACCTTTATCATAAGGTTGAAGGACTGTGAACATTAATGGTACCTCAAATGTGTGGTTAGTTTACAATTTCAAGTGTGAGTTTGTGAATGTGTGTATTTTAAAGTCATATATATGACTTTAAAATACACACACTCACAAACACACAAAACATCAAGATGCAGGCTTAAATTTTCCTTGAAATTTATTTTGAAAATGTCCCCCCTAAATAACTATTTCTTTAGTAATACTATTCAATAAGGTTCCATTTGTTAACATTAACTAATGTGCATTTGTTAACATTAACTAATAATGAAAAATACTTCTAAAGCACTTTGTTAATTTCAACATTTACTAATACATTATTAAAATCAAAATTTGTATATGTTAATATTATAAAACAGACCTGAGCTAACATGGACTGACAATGACCACGTGTATTTTTTATTAACTAACATTTAACAAAGATTAATGAATGCTGTAACAAATGTATTGCGTATTATTAGTTAATGCATTAACTGAAGTAAACTACTAATGGGACCTTATTAAGTGTTACCATTATTTTTTATTGAAAAACATACATAATCAGAATCGAATAATGTTATAGAAGCATGTTTTTAATAAATCGTTTAATTAATTCAACATATTACTGCTTCCAATTTCTGTTAATAAAAAAGTTTAAAAACAAGCAGTGTCATCATAATTAGAAAATAGAAATAGAAATGCCTGAGGAAATATATTAGCCAATATTGGGGAACTTCAAATGTTGTATTGGGCCTTCGAGTCAAAAGATTGAGAAGTACTGTCGTAGAGACTTAAGGGGTGTAAGCTTATAAATACCGAATTAGGACCACCATAGCAACTACCCAAAACATCCATGAAACCACACATTAACGTCTCAGAACAAGTTAGAAACCACATCATAGTGGCTTAGCATCGTAGTGGTGAGGGGGCAAAATCATTATTTTAGCATTTTCATTCAGTTCCATACATACACTGTTAAGTATCAATGGAATTAAGTGCATAAGTAGGAGCTTAAGCGTACTAAATGCAGTGTGGAGTGATATCATTAACCTAAAGCAGCTTGGATACTGTATTCACTGTCTCGCTAAATTCAGCACCATGAGTGCACAGGGTCCATAAATATACAGTGTATTGGGTTTCTCAAAGCTTTTATCACACACACTTTTGCTTCCACAGGGCTGTGTTTGTGTGTTTGTTGAGCATCTTTCCTAAAGCTGTGAGTAGCTGTCTTAATTTAATTAGCTGAGGTTTCATAGTTAGAGTTTTGAAGGCTTGCATACGCTTGTGTTTAGTTTTTTATGAGGCATGCCGACTCGAGGCCTTAATAAAAGAAGTCGTTTTTTGTGTTTGATGTGCCTGAGTGTGTAGGAGTTTTCCAAGGAATATAAAAGTAATGATGTCTAAGCCACAGACAATATGTCACATATATAGAATTTTCTCTTTAATGTCAATGTTGAATTTATTTATTTTTGAACTTTTGAAATGATTTCTCCTAGACAGCAATGAGATAAAATTTAGAGCAGATTAAACTTCACTCCTCCTGATGTTTCCTGAATTTATTTTTAAAAAAATACAGTCATGCTATAATTGAATTGCTCTGTCCATGAAAAAAGTATCATTTGTTTTGCAAGCTTAAATATATAAATTAAAAAGTAATTATAAAAAATAAAATAAAAAATGTCAGATAATAAGTTCAGATATTTTATTTATTAATTTATTTATTTCGGATATTTTATTAGCACTTAATTCCATTCTTTGACTGATAGAATGATTAATGTACTTCAAAACAAATCACTTTTCCAAATTGTATTAGTTTCATAGAATGGCACTTACACTCTTACTGTATATATACTGTATGTAGTTCAGTTATGAAACTCTAGATGGCGCAATCTTACGGGGTGTTAACGTAACTGCTGATATTCAGAGAGTTAAACGACTTGGCACAAGCTGATTGGTTCATGCTGCATATGCAGCCAATGAGCTTACTGCCTTGCATTTATACAAAGTTGATGCTTAAATGAAACCTAACCTCCTGCGCTATAAAAGCACATCATCTGTGCAATAAAATCGTCCTCCAGGAAAGTTTGCACTTGACCCCTGCTGAGTGTTATCCTAGCCTTATTTCCCCAATAATGATAGGTGCAAACTCTCAATATCCCTTTTCCTGCTGCGGTGGCCGTGACTCCCTGTTCACAGTGTGTAGGGTATCAGAACGCACAGCGGGACTCCGGTTTTAAGTGCAGGGCACAGCGTGACCTTTGCACAAGTGAGCTTTGATCTCATTGGCTGTGAGGATCTGGTGAAAAGGTGCAGTTTGTTATAGAGCAGGTCAGTCTTAAAGACTTCTGCCAGGGTCAAAGGGGGCACCTTAATCTGGTGACCTGACCGTGAAACCCACCATGACAAGAAACACACACGTGTATGAAGACACTCACGCAACTGTCGTCCATGCTAACTCAGCGTAACTGAAGAGGCACTTCTGCTGCTCAGCTGTTTAATCCTTTCACTCAAAAAAAAAAAAAGAATCCTCACAAGTCAAAGGAGATCAAGCATGACCTTCTGAGGTATTCAAATTTAAAGACACTCATTACTATGTAAAATACAGGAAGCCTGTTTTCATAGAAATCACTTTTCCTAATCTTAGCTATGTTAAAGGGATAGTTCACTCAAAAAAGGAAATTCTGTCATCATTTATTCACTCTCATTGTAAATCTGCATGTCTTGCTTTCTTCTGTGAAACATGGAAATGGAGGCCTGGGGGCTGCTGAACTCCAAAAATGATAAAAATACACAACTGTTTTTGACATTGATAATGATAAGAAATAATTATTGAGCACTAAATCAGCATATTAGAATTATTTCTGAAGGATCATGTGGCATTAAAGACTGGAGTAATGGCTGCTAAAAATTCAGCTTTTCTATCATGGGACTAAATTAAATTTTTTTTTACAAACAACAGTTATTTAAAAATGCAATATTTCACAGTATTATTGTTTTTATTTTTGATAAAATAAACCCTCTGTGAGCATAAGTTACTTTCAAAAACATTAAAAAAATCTTACTAACTCCAAACTTTTGAATTATATTGTATACACATCTAATCCAATTTTGTAATTCTGAACAAAGTATTAAAGGTCCCATATTGTTAAAACTGAAATATCCTGGCTTTTTTCACGATAACTGAGGTCTAGGGGCTATTTAACTACCATATAAGTTTCAAAACAGTCAGTCCACAGTAAAATTCACACAGCCTGCATAAAGTAGCTGTGATTTTTCACAAACCGTTGTGACTTCCGTAAAAAGTTGACGTCAGAACTAGACAAACTCACCGTGTCTATCTAGTCATGATGAAGATGTATATACATTTCAATTTCAGCAGGCAACTATTTTTAGAGCTACATTATTGTTCCAGCCACAATTAATCACAACAATGTATATACAATTACAAATGATTATATATAAATCGTCAGTTTTTGTTTTACACACATCCACACAGACGTGATTTAATACACGACATAGTAGTGAGATGCAAGAAACATAGACATATGGCAAGAAATCTGTAGACACGCCCATAACAACAAAAGACTACTTTATTGAACCTTTTCTGATAAGAAGTGTGCGCTGCAAATTCTTAAGGACATCAAACCCTAAAATAAAACTCCAGAAAGGTGTAAAATATGTGACCCCTAAGTGTTTACTGCCTATTTTGGCCAGGGAATGCTAGAACACTACTGTATACAGAGGAAGTGGTCAAGGGCACATCACTGTAAATAGATAATGTATTCACACTTCTCTGTCCTCACTTCCCTTAATGAGCCCATCTGAACAGATACGCTTTTGACCTTGTGCAGCAAGTAACAGCAAGGCCTAATGACTCCACATTTAAACTTCTGTTAAAAGTGTGTTGATTTGCTTTTACTTCAAGTTTCCAATTTAAGTCCTAGCTCAGGTGTTAGTTTGCAAAACATGTGGCGTGATCTGTTAGCTAGAGTACTTGCAGGTTCATGTAAGTGCAAGAATTTCACTCACTAGAAGAGGATTTTGTAAGAAAAATATACTTTCCCCTTAACTATTTCTTGTTGTGATTTAAAGTGTTAAAGGGGTGGTTCACTGGGTTTTTTCTAGGCTTGATTGTGTTTATGGGGTGCAGTCTAACATGTGTTAATGTTTCGTTAAAAAAAAAAAAACGCATTATTTTTCACATAATTTACCTTTATTCCACACAGCTCTGTCCTTTCTCTGAGAAACGGGCTGATATTTTCCTGCTTTTATGAAGCCCCGCCCCCAGAAATAGGCAATGGGCTCTGATTGGTTAGCTAGCCCAGTGTGTTGTGATTGGCTAAACCGCCTAGTGCGCGTTTAAACGTCCGGCCCCTCACCTCAGCAGCATGTGCTCCGGTTGTATTGTAAACAATGGCATGGCTTATCAGTTTGAGCCCGATTGAGAAGCAGATGATATTATTGAAGAGGATCGTGCAGAACCTGTGCAAGCACGGCTTTTAATGGTAGGCCTATGTTTTTTGTTTGTTGTTGTCTCATACTTTTAGATACGCTGTTATTTGTAAATGCTACTGCTTATGTTAGCTTTTAATATACGGTTTTATCCTGATTAAAGCTAACTTTGCAGATATTGTTTATGCTCAAACAGCAACATTACACACTAACTAACATTAAAAAAGTGAAATCGCAATGAACCACCCCTTTAAAGTTATATCTATCTATCTATCTGTCTATCTGTCTGTCTGTCTGTCTGTCTCTGTCGATCGATAGACAGATTTATTTTTAACACTTTCTTATGCTTACCCAGACTGAATTTAATAATAATTTATATTAATAATATTTGTGAAATATTATTGCAATTTAATATATATATATATTTTTTTATTATTATTATTATTATTTATTTATTTTTGTTTGATGGCAAAAGTTCATCAGTCTTTATTATTATTTCCAGTTTCTTATTATTATCAATGTTGAAAACAGTTGTGCTGCTTAATATTTTTGTGGAAACCATGATACTTTTTTTCAGTTTTCTTTGATGAATAAAATTGTAGCTAAACTGTAATACAACTGTAACTAAACTATAACTGCACTTTCATGAAAAAATAAATTTAGATTTTATAGAAACATTCTAAAGAGTCCTTCTTTGAAGTAAATACCATAATCATTTATTATGATTTTGCAGTAGTACTAATACTAGTAACTGTTATTTTCTATAACGGAATACACTGGTGTTTGTGGAAATCATAGGGAGTTGTTATAGCTTAATGTGAATCAACATAGCCTTTGCCAAAATACAAATGCACTCCATATGCTGTTTCACGGAGCAATTGTGAAGAAAAAGACTAATTCCCTCCATTTATGCAAACATACAAAATGTATTTACAAATTAGCCTTCCAGAATAAAGAGTTAAAAACATTATTGCACCTCGCATTTTCCATATTGATCTAAAGTGCAATGACACCAAATAGTGCCAGATTTCTGTTGCCTGACCCAGAAAATATGTTCAACTGAAACACCATCTGATTGCTTTATTATGTAGAATACAAATTACAGCTCTGCACGATCCCAAATTGAACCGGGGGGAGATAAATAACCCCAAACATTGCTGATAGGCAGAAAAAACAGGCGGGCTGTCAGAATTAAGCCAGATTCTTCTCTTTAGCGCTGCCTCAGCACCACCATCTTTCAGTCGCTTTCAGCGCCAGCCATTAGCAGTGTGTGAGTATGAATGAAGGCCATTTCATAAATGGGCACAAGAGAGTAAAGCGTTGCTGGCAGGTGGAGCGCAGACAATCGATGCATTCGCCTTCATCCTCAATCCTTTATCTCTGTGATCAGAGCAACGGTGTGTTGGCACTTATTCAAACTCACAACTGCAATTTCAGAAGAAAGTTTGAAAAGCATTCCTCATAGGACACCTCATTTGCATCGTCTCTGAATCAGGATAATAGCATTTGGGCTTCTAAACTCCACCCGCCACTTCAAAGTTTTACTTATTGAATCAGCATATCCTCGTAAAAGGTCTCAATTAGAAGTCAATTGTTTCAGTGACTGTTTATTAATGTTAACATGTAATTTATGACGCACAAGACTCCAGACAGTCAAATGACCGTGCTAAACTTGGATTCTCCAGACAGTCGCATATTGTCATACAGTATATCACTTCCTCATTCAGAGCAGAACTTATCTGCCCCATATTTTCAGCTTCTTGTAAACAAAACTTGAACTTCCCTATGATGAGGCTAACTGCCATGTGACACAACAACATTTCTTCTCACTTGATGCTGTACTAAAAACATGCTGTATTTAAGGTTTAGCACATCAATGTAATGCAGGATTAAAGAGCTCTTCCTGTGGTATTTTCTAAATCTGGTGTGTTTGATCTTCAGAGGTGTGTAATGGGAATCTGAAGAGCATCCTGGGTCTGTTCTTCATCCTGTCCCGCTACAAGCAGCAACAGCAGCACCAGCAGCAGTACCTGCAGTCGTTAGTGGAGCTTCAGCAGCACGTCACACATCAGACCACAGGGGCGGTGCCAGCGAGCCAGCACAAAACACAAGACATGCAGTCCAGGTAGGACACGTCTTAGGATCTCTATTGCTGTTGCTCCTCCATTTGACTTCTGCATCTTTAATCATGAAATAAATGGCTAAAGAGAGAGAGAGCGAGAGAGAGAGAGAGAGAGAGAGAAAGATTTGCACTCTTGTTGATAGACCTTGTAAGACTTTGTAAGACATTGTAAGCAGTATATTGTGCTGTCTTAACATCCAAACCATATGTCATTTCACAGTCCATGCTTTCTCTTTCGTCAGTTAAACAAAGGTAATATAGTAAATGAATAATATATATATATATATAT